AAAAGTAAACAGGAAAAAAAACCTCTCCTGTTACTGCTCCCAGTCTACCTGTCAACTTGTTATTTTGGAGTCATCTCCTGTCTAGTCCTGAAAAAATAATTGGTAAACAAGGCCAGATCTTTGCTGAGGTTCTCAGGAGTACCTTTCATTTTCTTTTGATGCCAGTTGTGTTTTTCATCTTAATAGTTTCTGTCCCTGCTGTTGCATTTTGCTCTCTGAAAAGCTTTTTAAAATTTTAACTAATGCTGCCATGATGAATTTCTCTGCAGTCCTTTGAGAAGTATTTCTGTGTTGAGATTGTGTGTTTTGCATGTGTCTAAGCTGATACAACATCTTAATTCCAGCTGTCATTGAGTTTCATTTATCCTAAAAGATACTTCTGAATTATAAATATGCTGCACTGTATGTGACAAATTTCCAAAATTTCTTTGAAAATATTTCTCTTGATGGGGTGTTTGAGAGGTAGTTCAGGTAGTTTTGGAGCGACTGCTGTCACTATTATTGACAAATCTTCTCTTGGTCTCTGTGCTACTATTTGTCTCTTAGTCACCTCTGGCACAATGCCGTCAATTGCAATTGAGTTGAGACACTGGTGCTGTTGAAATTTTTAATTTGGTGTTGTGTTGCAATAGAAGTTGGAGCTTATGGAGGAATTTAGGTGCCTATGGAATGACAAGAACATAGGTAAATTAATCTTCCGGAGGATTGTGCCAGCTGTTTTTTGGTTATTAGGAATGCACGGTTGTGTTGTAGCGATTTCATGAAGTTCTTGTTTACTGATTTTAAATTTTTTTTATAAAACTTTCCTCATGAAAGGCTGTGAAAGAGACACATGAAACTTGCTTTCTGTGCTAAAAAAAAAGTTAGGGAATTTATGCATAATGATCTGTGTAATATTGATCTTGCCAACATGTTTCAGCATTTTAAGATGGGTTTTCATGATATTAGGCTGTATGCTCAGATGTTTGGGTACCCAAACATGTTTATTCTTGGCTAGCCAAAATGGACATAAACTGCATCATGTATGACAGGAGAGATCAATTATTTTGTCCTAAAACCTGCTGGTGCTGTTACAAGGTTCATGTGGCATGCTATATCTCTGCTGAAAGTTTGGGTATTTGGATTGTGTGGTGCCTTTTTTTTTTTTTTTTTGGTAGTGGTATGTGCAGCAAGTTATTTGAAAACATATTATTTCCTTGTTTTTTACTGAAGTTCCTCAGAAGAACTATGTAGCATATCTAAAAGATGGCTTTTGTACGAGTTGGGGGCAGCTCTTATGTTCTTTGCTCAGTGGCAGCATGTCAGGCTTCTCCTATAGAATGATTATAGGCAGGGGAAAGTTGCAAAAGGGAAATGTCAGGGAGAAGGAAAATGAAAAATATGCAGAAAGGAAACAAACAAATGGATTATTAATTGTATGACACTTAATCTGTGAAATTTTTCTCTCCCGAAGTGCACTTTTCTCCCAGTAATCAGCTGAAAATTTGATGTTAAAATTTTTTGTGTAGTACTGAGAACTGTGTTGTTTATTGGTGTCTGTACCTCATGTGTTATTGTTCACCATGTTCCTGAAGGACTGATGTTCTTTTCTCCAAGCCTGCCTTGGTTAAAGTCACTTTCTTCATGAAAGAATAACAAACTGTTCAAGTAGTTTCTAATATTTGTTGATGTCCCGAAGTTGAATGGAATTAAATTTGCTATGTTGTCCTTCTTGTTGCTTCTGATTTCCTCAGTTGCTTGAGTATGAAATTGCTTAAATATTCTGATTTTCAATGTCTACCTTTCCATTATTATTATTTTTAATGAATCCAGTAGTCTTTAAAAGTCTTAGTACCAGAGACGACATCAGATCAAGCTCGTGCTTAGTATGACTTACAGAACAAAGTACTCTTACTAGTATTTTTGAGTTAAAGTGGTGTCTTGGTAAGTTCCTCTGAGTTCCTGGCCAAATATTTACTTGAAAATTGACCCTCCAGGTGACCAGAATGAACAACTAATATCAAACCCAAAGAGTTGGTGTTGATTGGAAACTCTTAACATGTAAAGCAACTTGGGTTCATTTAAGATGCAGAGTTTGTCGCATAGTAGGCTTGGTGCAGTCTTAAATTACTAACTTGTTCAGGAAAGAGGTATGCACTGTAGGAGTTCTTTGGTATTTTAATACTGGGATTGCTGTGCTTACTGAGCAACGGTTGTATTCTCTCTTTAACAAGTGGTATTTATGATGAAGTTTCTTCTGCAATCTATATAATGCTGAAGTACAGTCCTCCCTTGCTACTGTGTCTATGTTAGATTTTTCTCACCGATTGTCTAATACCATATTTTGTTAGTTGTTGTCATCTTTATAACCCAGTTGCTTTGCTAAGTATCTATGGGAAAACTATGATAAGTGAATTTGATATCTGCTTTTTTCCTATGTTATTGATACAAAAAATGTGTGCTGATTGCTTAGGAAGTGTTTGCTTCCACATGCTATTTGGGTTACCAGTTTTAAGGAGTCTGAAATATGATCTGTACTACTCCTGGTTGATCTCCTTGACTGTGATAGGAATCGAGTGGTTCCTTAAATGATAACATGCTTTCTTCTTGGTGTACTACAGTAAGAAACCACTGAGTCATGGATGCTCAGCCAGAACCTTTACATATTCTAAAGTTAAACACCACCTCCCTAAGGGAGAAGTAATTACTCTTAGCTGTGCTATGCTTTACTTTCTGATCATAAGAACAATGCAAAATTGCTCATTTTCCTGTTCATTATGATGGTAGACTGAGAGTCTCCTGTTGCTGTTTTTGAGGAAAATGGTGAAAGTGATTTCTGTTTTGCTGTCTTAGGCAACTTTTTACACCGCAAAATAACTAAAACTCTTAAGAACCTTAACAGACTGTAAGCATCCATGGTACAAATCATCTTGCTGTATGTTTGTGAATAGCATGAGACCTGGGAATGTTAAATAAGTTTTACTGACCTCTTAAAGAGGATTAAACATGGAAAGAAATTTTTTTCTTTTTTTTTTTCCTACTTTTTTCTTGCAGTTGACTCCTGCAGGAAATGTTTTCAAATACACTCAAATCACAGCTGAGAGCTGTGTAAGAGTCAGCTACTAGATGGTAGAGAACTTCAAGAGTAATGCAGGCTTTGAAAATTGATAAAGGAGTGTTCTCAGGGCTGAACTTCTGGCTTTTCTAGTCTGTACCTTTTTTGCAGATATTTTACTTTTTAACGGTTGTTCACTAAAACGATGCATCCAAACAGACATCTGTTCTCAAAGTTTTCATCAAAGTAATCGTCAGTTAAATATAAAACTGCTTGTTAATAAGGTGAAAGTACTTCAAGGGAAAATATTTTGATACATCTTAGTCGTAATCAGCAATAATTGTGGGAGTTCCCTCAAAGTTTTAAAAATATCGTCCACTGTGTGTAACGAAATTATTGCATGCACATTTATAATTGGTAGAAAAACCTTGACGCATTCGGTGCCTCAATAAAAGAGAAGTAACTTCTGTACCACATCTGAATAAATGGAAACCAAATGCTTAAACGGAATGACCAGAACTTTTCGTAAGCTTAAGCTGTAATTGTTATCAGCATTTGAGGGTAGGGGAGAAACTCAAATTTGTAACCAGACATTTTATTTTAAATGTTGGGAGTTATGCCTTATTTGGAAAGCTAGAGATGAGAATGGATAGGGATAAATGCGACAAATAATAAATGGTACTCAAGTAATATTTGTCTCTTTTTGCTTTTTTTTTTTTTTTTTTTTTTTAACTTCAGAGTGTTTATTCACAGACAAAAGTTATTGGGGCAGTTACATATCTTAGTATACTTAGTCTTTTCGTTACTGCAAGCAGGCTGCTATAGTCCTGACTTAAGACAATTAAAAAAAAAATTATGTGGCAGTAAATGAAACCATAATATACCTTTACATATTTTACAGACTCCTCCTTGTAGGAGGCTGTGAAACAGATGAAGATGGAGTATCTAAAGCAACTGGTTGTGGGATATCTGCTTGGAGAGTTCTGTCAGGCTCTCCCCATTATAAACAGGTTACTAGTTATGAAAATGACATTAGAACAGTAAGTATGTTTCCTCACTTTACTGGATGAATATTGTCACTGGCAGAATTATCTAACTGGAAGTTCGATATGAATCTCTTTTTGAAAGAAGAATTTAATGCAATGTCTTGCGATTATCTAAGCTATGATGTGAACTTCTAAGTTATCTCTTCCCCCCCAGTGTCTGTCTATTTTTGCTTTTTCTGTAGTATAAATTGAACTTTTAAGTTTTTGATTATCATTTGTGGTTTTAAAAAAACCCACCAAAACAACAAGAAACAACAACAAAAAAATTGTAGCATGGAAATGTACAAAGTCCTTAGTTGTTTACTGGGATATGTTACCTGTCTTTGTTGGAAAAAATTCCAGTTATTTTTGTCTTTTTATTACCATAACAGAAGGCAACACATCTGAAATAAATGTTTCAGTTCAAATCTGACTCTTGATTTCTTTTGCTTCTAGTATAAGTAAATGTTTGCTTTGGTAACAACTACTGTGTGGAAATACTGAAATCGATTTACAATATCCTAGGATAAATTTCAGTATTTACTCCTATATAGGTATTGCTTAGTATTAAAAGCGAGCTGTTAATTTTATTACAAATGGGTAGTGCTTTTCTGTGGCATGTTACATACCTAATGGAATAGGCAAAGCTATACAAAGTGAGTTTTATTATCCTTGCATTATTTTAAAGTAGGCAGTCTTATGGAAGTTTAAAGAATCCTCCAGAGTTGTTTTAGTACTTTAGGTATGACTTAGTTTTTGGTGCATGAAACAATGTATGAGATTTTTCTTTCATTGTATGATGTCTTTCTGTTCTTACAGGCACAGAGAAGAGGATTATTAAGGATTATGAATTTAAGACTTTACAGCAGGCGGGGAACAGAACAGGTATTAAAGTCTAGGTCTACCTCAGGAATTTATTTTACTGACATAATTGTCCATTAATGACTGCCTGAGAGACTGGTTGAAAGTAGATTTTAATTTATGCAACTTAAGAATTAACGTTTCTATAAAACTTACAAAAAATTATAAGCTTTTAGTGTTAAATGGAGTAACTTGCCATTTATATGGCTTTTTAAAAAGTTCAATTAGTTTGTCTGCTGAAGCTTGAATCTTGAGTTTTCAGCATACTGACAGGAACAGGTCTGGAGACGTAGTGTTAAATCTTAATGGTAAACTCTTTTTCAAAAAGGAAGGTGTAAAAAGCCACCTAGCTATTTGTTAATGAATTTAATGATCATAGCATGTTAGGTGTGTTATATATTCTACGAGAGTCAATTGTGATGATGTTTCTCAATATACGACCAAGAGAGAAATAAAAGAAACAAAACCCAGCTGTCTGCGCTACCCAGCTCGCACTAGAAAGTGAACAAAACCCCCTCACCTTACAGCTGAAAATTTTCATATAATGTGGGGAAGAAAAACCGAGTGGATTCAAACTAATCATTCTTGGCTTAAATAGGGCAGACACAAAGACTTGATTTTTACAGTCTGTTATGAGATACTATGGAAATATTTTGCTAAGTAGCTTCAAAGGTTTAATATGGGTCAAACTTCTACTACCAGGACGCCTGTGAACCTAATGAAAGTGCTGATCAGAATCCGCTTGTTCTTAACAAACCCTCGGTATGGGTCTTGTATTCTCCTCTGCCCTGAATGAGTGTTAGATCTTGAGTGTCAGGCTGAGATGTAGGTGTGTGCTTTCTGTATTTATAAGGCTTTGCACATAGTGCTCCTGGCTTTTTTCTACATCCCTTAGGAGCTACCCATGCAGTACTACACCACCTTCTATCTCTTGTCTACTAGTTGTGTGTAGCCTTTGTTTGATTCTGTTTTTTAATCCCCCTTTCCCTCCTTGTAAAAAAAAAAAAAAAAAAAAAAAAGTTTTGCCTTTCAAGGAAAGAACAGTAAAGAATCTGTCTACCACCCTCACTGTGCCCTCCTGAGAGGAAAAGTGGCTGGTCTGAAGTTATATGGACTTTGGAAAGGAACTTAATAGACTTTTGGGATGTTTAGGTGACTGGTTAAACGAAGAAATTGCATGCTTGATTGGAAGGGGAAAACAAATCTTTCTGAATCTCTCTCAAGGGTGGAATGGGGAGAGATTTTATTTCCTTCACTGAAAATATAAAAGAGAAGGCTGAAGTAAACTTTTTTAACTAGAAAGCTGGTACTGAGTGTAGCCATACTAAACTTCAACTTCATTGCACTTGCCAGTATTAAATTTACAAAGAAAAGCATAGACTGTTATTCATCCTTGAATGTTTTAATCTGTTTTCAGAGATTATGGTTTAAATATGTGAGCTATAGTTCATATTCTTAGTGGGAAAATTGGCAACAGTGTTAAGGTATCACAGGCACAGCAGCTAGAGGACTTGTATATTAGAACTAGCTATATTAGGATTTGATTCTTAGTGTTGCTAGCTTAAATGACACTTATAAAAATGTGAAGTACCAACCTGCTGAGATTTTCAAGATCTTATTCTGCAGTTCCCTTAAGTTGACAAGCTGTTTACTGAGGCACAATTGCCTGCTTTGCCAAAGGACGGATTAATCTCTATAGATAACAGTACTCGGGTGGTAAATTTGAACGTGTTAATGGCCACCCAACGTCTAAATTTAACAGCAAGAGAATTATTACTGACTACTGAGTAAATGTTTAACTCTTTTTAGGATCTGTGGTGTATACCACTGATAATTTATTTGAATATGTTATATATTTTAGCTATATGTTTCTAGACCCTTGAACAATCTTTTGTTCTTTGTCCTTTGTGCGTGCAAATTGATTTGTAAAGAGAGAATTGGCATTAGTAGACATGCACAATTTCTTGGCAAACTACAGATTGCAGTACTCTAGCTGTTTAAGAATATAATCAGAGAATACTTACGAAATTTTTCTAATATAAATAATTCTTAATTGGTTTTAAAAAAACTTAAGAAAATTCTCCTTTTCAATTAAAAACACATTTTAAGCTTGGATTTAAGCAGTGCTCTCAGTAGCTGCAAACCACTGTACAACAGTAAGCAGATTACTTGATTGTCATTGTTTCTGTGGCACAGTTAGAACTTACAACAGCCTAAGAAGTAAAATAAAAATAATAAAAAAAACTCCAAACCAAACAAACATACCTTAAAAGAATATCGTTGTCTTCAAATGATACCTACCACTAATGTGCTGTAGAAATGCCATTAAAACTTTTTAATTGCATGGACATCTCATAACTTATCTGTACTTCATGTATGTTGGGATATTTTCCAAGAGGGGAGGCTTAAAAATTGATTGCAGACTTGGACAGTTCTAACATTACTGTAGGATGAATCTTTATCAGGAAGTTTTTAAAAATGAACTACACTAACAAAATGGGATTTTATAAACTATAATTTTTGGGAATCTACATCGTACTGTCTTTCAGTGAAGACTAGACTCTCCGAGAAGCTAATGATCTTTATGAAGACATAGAATTTGTGTTAGGAGCAGTAGAATACATAGAAATTATATTTTCAGAAATTGTCATGTGTTGCCAGTGGCACTAAGTTTAACTTTAAAATGTGAGTGCATATTTAGGGGCTCTTGTCTTGTGGAAATAGTGTATAGATCCAGTTGTGATTGTGTGGGAGTTCGTGAATCCTTAAGAAAATAATTGGTTAGAAGTATGTTTTGCCTCTTAAGAAATCCAGAGCTGAAGGAAAACTTAATCCGGGAGAGTTTTTGTAGCCTTGATGAAGTTTACTATGTTGAATTATTTTGTCTGTATGAACTTAGTCTGATATTCGCTATATTGCTGCTTAGTCTGTTGTTACTGAAGAAATTCTTAAATTCTGATTCATTGTCCTGATATGAACAGTGTGTATCTCTTGTATGCTCCCCTCTTTTTTAAGTTTGCTTCCAGAGAGGAAGAGCTGTACTAAGCTGTGTTTTTGTAACAGTCTTCCTTGGGTGGGCCTGAGAGGCAGGACAGTAGAAAACTGAGGCTGATGAATGTTTTCTCTGAACAGAGAACAACCTGCAATTTTTCCTCCAAGTAGCTCTGCATTTTGTGTCTGTGACATTCTCCTAGGAATGCCACACTTTCAGATTTTGTTGCTGTATAACAATGTGAAGCAGAACTTCACATTCCTAAAGATTTGTTCATGTTATGGTAGTGTTCTTCCTTTGTACAGGTTGTTTTTACTCTTCCATGCCACAATTAATATTTTACCTTTAATCTGACGTTTAGCTTTTTTTTTTTTTTTTTAATTTAAAGCCTCTTAAATTTTCGGGTTGGAAGATTGTACTTTTTTTTTTTTCCTAAAATAGAAAAAATAATTTGAAGTTTTGGGGATTTTTTTTTTTGGGGGGTATTCCTTAATGTGTATGGGTGGGGTTTTTTGTTTTTGTTTGCTTTTTTGTTTTGTTTCATGGTTGGTGGTGTGTTGTTTTTTTTTTTTTTTTTTTTTTTTTTACTTTGCTGACATTATGTTTGGCAGGATGGAGTTTTCAAGATGAATCTTTCTCCTGATGGTGCTCTTCTGGCAGCTATTCATTTCTCAGGAAAACTGACTATCTGGTCTATTCCATCTCTCAGACAACAAGGACAATGGGACCAAACTGATCAGGTAAGAAGGATGTAGATGTTTAGAAGCTTGCAGTATGTATCTTAATCCTCTGGAGATGTGTTTTCCAAGCAGATGAGAGTAATTCAGATAACCGTGCTTCAGCTATGTACTGTCTTTCCAGTCAAGTCTATGTTTTTCAAGAGCTCTATATTTACTTTTACAATAATAGCTCTATACTTACTTTTACAATATTCTTTCTGTGTTTTAGCACTAGTAGAGGTAGGCTGAAATACTATTTTAAAATGTAAGTGGAGGCCAACACGAGAAACTTTCTTTGAATGGTTGAAACCAAATTCTGCTGGATGTCTAATGTGTTCATCTATTCTGTCCTCAAAATTTACCTTCCTTCTGCCAGATAATGCCCCAGAATAGTTTGTTTATCAGATTGGTATTAGTAAGTCACATGCTTTCTACAGGAATTGTTTGCAAAACTAAGTAGGGGAACTTAAGTTAGGAATTGCCTGGACGCTGGCAAACTTTTATGTGACTACTGTGAATTTAAACTCTGGGAATTGAAAACTAATTAGTTTTCAAGGAAAATTCCAAATAACTAATACACTCTCTCGGTAAATATAACAATTTCAATGAAGAAAATATAGCTGCATTTTGAAAAGTGACAAATCTGAAATGTTACACAGTAGTACATGAAGTATCCTGGTTTTACTACCATTAATTTCTTGACTAATAGATACAGAAAGGCTTTTCACTTGAGGTACTGTCTGCTTATGTTCAAAACCTACAAGATACAAACTGATATCAAGTCCAAACAGGGTAACCAGTCAAATGGGATCTTTGGTCATTAGAAGTATGTAACACAAATTACCACCAGTATTTCCTGCACAGTATTGATCTCAGGTGGTTTTATTGTACATAAGTACATTTCTTATTAGAAAATTATTGTAGAATGAAACATTTGCTACTTAGTAGTAAACAAATGTGTTTTAGTGCATATGCTGATTAATAAATCCACATGTTACGTTATCATTAAATATGTGCAGTTTCTGATTCTTCTCTGTAATTTCCTTTTAGAGGGTAAATCTTTGCACAGTGTATTGAATCCTTTAAAAATTCCAATACAAAAATATTTCTTCCAGTTCTTGTAGATTGTTTTAAATTCTTCAGGTTTATGTTTTCATATGAAACACAGCTTTTTCCCACACTGTATTGAATTTCTCTGCAGTCTGTGCATTGCGCAGTAGGTACTATAAGATCCACAACAAAAAACTTCTTTGGCATTACATATAGGCACAGGCTTCTATAATGAGGAAGAGGACAAAATGCAGGAAGACATCTTCCTTTGTGTATCATGATGACTATGAGGTTAAAAATTACAAAAAAGATAGACCCAAAACTTTAACTATAGGAAAAACTTAAGTCTGTAAATACTTGTAGAGTTAATGGTATGTTGCCATCCTGAACACCACTGGTGTGCTGTTACCTTTTTGCTCTGACTGCAAGAGCAAGACTACTGACTTAGAAACATGGCTGTGGTGGTGTGTCGCTTATGTTTTGGTTCTTACAGGTAAGCAGTCAGATCTGGTTGGGCTGTATTGACTGTGAAACTATTCTAGGTCTGGCTGGGATGGAGTTCGTTTTCTTCACAGCAGTGTGTATGGTGCTAAGTTTTGGGTTTGTGACCAAAACAGTGTTGATAACACACTACTGTCTTAACTGTGCTCAGTAGTGCTTACACAGCTTCAAGGCCTTCTCTGTTTCTCACTGTTGTCCCCCAGTGAGTAGTTTGGGGGTGCACAACAACCTGCGAGGGGACACAGCCCAGACAGCTGACCCCAACTGACAGAAGGGATAGTCCATGCCATATAACATCATGATGAGCAGTAAAAACAAAGCAGGGGGAGGTTTTGGGTAGGTAGCTGTGGCTCGGAGACTGGGTGAGCATCGGTCTGCTGTGGGAGATGATGAATGACTGCCTTTATGTCACTTCTTTTTTTTCCCTGGCTTTCCTTTGCTTATTAAACTGTCTTTGTCTTGACCCACAACTGTTCTTGCTTTTGCTGTCCCACTGGGGAGGGGAGTGAGTGAGCAGCTGTGTGGTGCTTAGCCACCAGCTGACATCAACCCACCACAGAAATGCAGTTCTAAGCTTAGTTAGGGAATGACTTTCAAAAAACAACAAGCAAAAATTCTGCTCCAATGTTGGCAAAAATGTTATGCATGTGTATGTGTGTATGTATGCGTATCTATGTACCTATATTTATTTTTAACGTACACCTCAGACTTTTGTGAGAATACAGATTTTGCTCAAGGATGCTGACAGAGAATTATTGTATTTTTTTCTTTGTTTTTATCGACAATGACTATGTATTCTGAAGTAGTTTTCAGGATTTCATCGTTTAGTGAGAGTGAGATAAAGGAATATTCAGTATTTGACTGTTTTAAGAATGATTTTTTATAGGTGAAACTAGTGTCCAAGTATAATGGATATTTTCATAATGTGTGTGATTCCTACTTAAGTGTCACCCAAACATATTTGTTAAATTAACTTAAAGTGGCCTCATGTTTGCTTTTAATTAGTAGACCCTTCTCTTTCTACTAAAAAATTAAGTCTGCATATCACCTTCTGCTTGACCCAAACTTGCTTCGGTTGTCTGAGCTGTGTAATCTACGTGTACTTCCACGGCATTGCAGTTAGGGGTAGGATTACTGTCATCTGCGTTTGAGCTGTTCCCATCTATTCTGATATTACTAAATAAAGTTTAAGAAAACCCACAGTTTACTAATTCTAAACATTGCAGTGAACCATTAAATAACGGTGCTTCTCTTGCTGCACTAGTCTTGAAAGGGGCTTTATAATTACGAAAGTAACCAGAGTAAGTACATACAGCACTGTACTGGGCTGGTACTCGGGAACACTACAGAGAGTGAACAGGAGGACTATTTTTTGAGTTTTTTCTTTTATATGCTTCCAGTCCTATGTATAGACTTGAAAACCAAACACTAAATGGGCTTCTGATTGCTGGAGAGCCTTTATTTCAGAAATCCTTAGGGTATGATTACTGTTTAATGCTGACTAGGCCAGGTCTGATGGTACTGTTTTCTAATATGGAGTTTTAGGAATCTGGAAGTTTATTTTGCAATTTTTTTTTTTTTATATTTTATTTAACTGTCTGGAGGAAAGTACAATGTAACTACAGCAGCTGTATGTTTTATGTTCAGGAGAAGTTTAAATTTATGGGGAGCATCTTCATTGAAAAATGAGTGGGTCAGCAATAGAGTAAGTAAACAGGTTGTCTGTGTTACAAAGATTTTCTCTCATATAATCTTTTTTGTCTTGTACGTGTGTGTGTGTGTTTTTTTTTTTTTTTTTTTTTAGCCAGGTTATGATGAGCTCAACCCAGACTGGAGACTCTCTAGTGAAAAAAGAAAGAAAATAAAAGGTATGTGGTACAGTTAGATCGTTAGTTTTATACTATTGCATAGTTAAAAATATTTACACAAATATACAAAGACCTGAAATGGCTTAATTAAATCTCAGTTAGAATAGTTGCCAAAATTGTATGTATGGTTTGAATTTGTAGCATAGCATAGCTAAGGAAGTGTCACAATAGGTTTTTTTTTTTTTAAATCCTCTCTTAGGAACACTTTTGTAGCCATAACCTTAGATAAGATGATATTTCAGTTAGTCCAGGACTTCATTTATTATTAATCATGTGATTATGACTCTGTAGAATGCTGAACATTCAACAGATGTCTCAGCTTGTATCAGAAGGCACTGTATCATAATATTGTAGGCAACAAATTATTAGACTCAACAGTTTAAAACCTAAACTTACCGTTACCTTTTCTGTCTATGAATGTCTAATAAATCCTGAAAGCTAACGTAATTTAAAGATAATTAGTTTAAAATTCTAAACCAAAAGGCCTTTGTTTCCTCCAACTAGATTTGCCTCATGTCAATCTCTGTGTTCTTTTCCCAAAGTTCAGGCCACCATGTGCAGCCAGTTATCACCTGGTTATTGCATGGCTTTTTCAAGAGTGCAGAGATCAATAGCTGTTCCATGATCTGTTCACTACTACTTGTATACATCTGTATTATTAAAAGACCCCTGCTGCTTTGTACTGTTTTTCTTGGTGATTCTATCTTTGCATTAATTCCTCTAACCTTTATGGGTAGACTGATGACTAAGCACTGAAGTGGCAGAAAAGCGATAAGCTGATCTGTTTCTCAGTGCTATTTGGGGAAGGATAGTTTTCATCAGAGAGGTGGGAAGAGACACTGTAGCGAACAAATTGAGCTAACTCTCTGGTGCATATCATGTCCCAACATCTCGTTACCATAATCAAGACAGTCTTAGAATGACACAGCTTCCATCCACAGTTGTGGTGACTTGTGTTTGTTTGTTTTGTTGGTTTAATCTTTTTAACAACCTAATCTTGTAGACTGTTTCAGGAGCCTTGTTCATAGTTGTCGCTTGTCCTCAAAAGCAGTGTAATCTTTTCTGATTTTTATCAGTACTATATTTGTTGTCAGGGAGAATTGGTCAAGGATGTCTGGGAAGTATTCATAGAATCACAGAACCATAGAACGGGACCTTAAAGATTAAGATTGTCTAGTTCCAACCCCCCTGCCGTGGGCAGGGACACCTCCCGCTACGGGAGGTTGCTCAAAGCCTCATCCAGCCTGGCCTTGAATGCTCCCAGGGATGGGGCATCCACAGCTTCTCTGGGCAACTGTTCGAGTGCCTCACCACCCTCACCGTGAAGAATTTCTTCTTGACATCTAATCCAAATCTACCCTCTTCCAGTTTAAAGCCATTGCTCCTTTGTATTGAAGCAGATCTTTATTAAATATCTAAAATTCATCATATTTTGTGCAAGTAAATAATTTTACTGTGAATTATTTTTTCAAATAATATTAGAAAATAATTACATCCACAATTACATGATTTTTAAAAATTATTATTAAGCTCTTCAACGGCTTTATTTAATGCAGAACTTATTTAGTAAAATATAAATGATCTAAAATGCAAACTTAGTCAACCAAGGATGCATATGCAATAATAAGGCTTTGTTAAATTAGGCCATCAGATGAAATCTCTTAGTAATTGAAGTCACTTCTGTTCTTATCCGGTGTTTAAAGTTATCTTTCTTTGTGTGGTGCATTCTTATGTATTTGTTTATTTATTTTAGATAAAGAATCCTATTATGCATTGATAGATGTAAATTGGTGGGCAGATAATTCTGTCATCCTGGCTCGCTGCTCTGGTGCACTGACAGTGTCATCAGTCAAGACGTTAAGAAACTTGTTGGGAAAGTCATGTGAATGGTTTGAGAGTTCTCCTCAGGTTACTTCAGCTCATGATGGCGGATTTCTAAGTCTGGAGGTGAGGAATGTGCACAAGCAGATGTATTTCTGGAATGCAGTAGAACAGTTTGCTTTTGTATTTGTAATCCTAAGGGTGTAGTGTGTGTGGTGTGGTTAAAAAAAAAAGTTTTTATTACTAATAGAAAAAATTATTCTGTTTCCTTATCTCTAGATAGGTATTGCAGGGAAATTCTGAACTTGCTGCAAATTAACTGTCCTAATAAAAACTTGATTGTCAAATAACTTCTGGAGAGTTAGAAGACTCAGTCTGAATGAGAGGAATCTTGCTGCAGGAAACAGTTTGTGTCGACAGTTTTCACTGCTTTGTATATTAGTGCATTTGAGGAATACTGCAAGCATCCCTCTCCCATTTTGAAACAAATGCCTATTACAGAGGGAGTGTATTTAAAAGAAATGAGGAACACATTTAAAGTAAGACAAAACCATATAAGAGATATACATTTTTACATCTTTACTAGGATTCCAGGAAGGAGTAGAAAGAACATAATTAAGTTAACCAGGAATTTTCTTTGAAACTAAGAAAACTTCTCTTTCCTAAGGCTTACACTGAAATAGGTCTTAAACATCTTAAACGAAAGTTTAATATTTATCAGAATATCTCGATACGTACCAAAGGTGGCACATATGTTTTTGGAAAAGTTTATTATTCTGGAAATAAGATACAGCCAGTGACTGGCATATTACAACCTAAGGATGTAGTCTGAGATTATGTTTGCATTGAACAGAAAATGTAGCTAAGAGTCAAAAACACTCTGTACACTGCAGTAATCTATATAACAGTGTGTGCAGATGTCTCCATAGTTCTCTCTGGAGTGGTGTAGGACGTTTAGTGTAATAGCGGGTCACTGCTAAAAAGCTTTCACTCTTGCTTCAGTAGGTAAAGGATGAAGCCTCAGATCTAGGAGACAGACTCAGTCAGGATTTGTGGAGCATGTTAACAAGCTGAGAAATAAAGGGTTTAAAGGAAAAGGGGAGGAAGGGTATTGATTCTGAAATCTGAAGTACTGGAAGTGGAGATGTGCTTAGTTCTCACCAAACTAGTTGAGGTGTACTGGGTGGACGCTTCATATTCATATTTTCTGTGCAGTGTGAGATAAAACTTGTTCCAAAAAGATTACGCTTGGAGAGCAGACCTGGTGATGAAGATGAGGGAGAAGATGACTCTGACTCAGATGATGAAACTTCTGCTAAGGACAGATACTTCAGCTACGTAAAGCAAGCCCTGTACTTTGTGACAGAAATGGAACGCTTTGCTCCTCCTCGGAAACGTCCCCGTACTATTACAAAGAATTTCCGCCTTGTCAGTTTGAGATCCACGACTCCAGAGGAACTGTACCAGAGAAAAGTAAGTATCGAAGGAAAGGTCATAGCTATCTTAATCAGCTTTATTTAGAAAGAACTTTTTCTTTTAATTCTTACTATATTAACAGAAGGATTTAGATGCATATGTCTAAAGGTCTCTTAATTAGCAGTGTTTTACCTAATCGAAGGGATCATTGTTTAAAACTAGCATTATAGTAATTCAAATGAGATGGTGTTTGGAGGTCACTGAGGAGACACTGTGCATCATTACCTTGGCCAGACTTGGAAGTGTACTCATGTGAGTGTTTACAAATAATGAAAGACCTGGCAAATATATTGAATGAAATTAGTTTAGCTTGTTATTGGCCAGGGAATGGGTTAACTTACACTCTAATGTGAATGTAGTTTACTTGCATGTTTTTTCATGCATACATACAAATTAGACTTGTCACTCACTCTTACCAAACAGATATTTCTTCCTTTTTAAGACTACTCTAGGCAGTACTTTGTCTAGGGCATTTCAGTTGTTCTGATGGTAAACCAGCCCACTCTATAGCTGTTAGAGGTTCCAGGGAGTGCTGATGTCATACTGGTTACCTAAATAACTTCTTCCTTTTTCGTGAGGAAAAATTGCTGATTTTCTAGAGGTATCCCATCAGATCTGAGTCTTACTTATCTGTATCTTGAGCCATTCTCTTTCCTACCTGCTTAAGCATACCCACAGTAATTATCCCTCTACCTTTTTCAACAGACAGAATTAATAATTGATTGTTTAATATGACTTCCATTTTCCTTTCATTGCTTTTTAGATTGATAATGAAGAATATGGGGAAGCTTTGTCTTTGGCTCAAACGTATGGCCTTGATTCTGACCTTGTGTATCAAAGACAGTGGAGGAAGTCGGCTGTTAATGTTGCTTCAATTCAAGACTACTTGGTGGGTTTGTGTTTTTGTGACTTTTAGGCTTCCTTATCAGAATGGCTGTGTTAGCTTTACAGAAATTGAATTCTCGGTTGTGTTCTGATTTATGCAACATAAATTGGTGGCAACTTGGAGACCCGTCCTGCAAATTCCATTTCATATCATGTGGAATAGAGTGATCTTGTTAATTTAACTGAAGACCTGATCTGGAGACCTTGGAAGTCAATGGAAATCTTTCCCTTGGAGTATCTTCTAATTTTGTTAATAGCAGCATGCTTTCTCTAGTGTAATCACTCCCCCACATGCAGCAGGAGATTGTTGCCTGGCAAATGAATAATTGGAAATATTAAAGCATTTAAATAATTTCCAAGTATTTTAGAAAATTAAATGAGAAGGTGAAGTTGGTATCAGTAGCTGTATAGCAAAGTCTGAATAATGAAAGTTACAGTGAACTCTGCTACCTGTAACTGGAGCTTTTCAGTAGATACTAACGTGGGGTTTTTTGGCTTGGAAGAAAGATTTCAAACTGAGCAGACAAGCATTGTCAAAGCTGTACAACCTAATGCTGCTCTAGGATAAAATCTTCCAAGAGATCAAGAGGAATATAATCTAGTTTTTGTTTTTAAGTCAGATATTAGTAGAATTTCAAAGTAATATTTTTACAAATAGCCATTCTCCATGTGCTGTGTAATCTCAACTGAAGTTCAGCAGATAAGGCCAATGATATTTTGTGACCTTGGTGTGTCTTTTCTGTCACAGAATCCTATTGGTATGTGAAGACATTGATACTGAACATGGCTCTAGTGCTATTGTGGAATACACTTGATTTATAAAAACTGCGTTTTAGCCCCAACCTATCACATTTTATTTTGTGTAAGAAGGAGTGATACAAATAATAACTTCTGTTCCAGTTGTTGTGAAAGTTCTGCTAAATCATTTGGCATTTCTGTGCACTTTTCTGCCACATATATCTAAGGGTGTTATGTTTTTTTTGCTTTCTCACCTCTTTTGTTGGTTCACATTGTCAGTCATCAGATTAACTTGACATTTTCTTAACATCTCCAGTTTCGTTGCTTTGCATTGAAGCGTATAACATTGTGTCTATGCTCTTGTTCTTGGACAGAGCAAAATTAAGAAGCGTGCATGGGTTCTTCACGAGTGCTTGGAAAGAGTTCCAGAGAACGTGGATGCTGCTAAGAAGCTGCTTCAGTATGGCTTGAAAGGCACAGACTTGGAGGCTCTTGTGGCCATAGGAAAAGGAGAAGATGGCGGCAGGTTTGGGAAGAGTATTTTTTTGTTAGTTTTCTTTTTAAAGAATAGTGTATGAAGTCTTTTCCAATAATTTGGTAACATTTTTTTATCAACCACTAATGAAAATGTTAAGATGCTTTTACAGGACATAAAGAAAGATAATACTTTGAATCAAACTATTCTAAAGATGTCCACAAGGTACCTATTCTCATTTAAGGGAAAAAAAAAAAAAAAAAAAAAAAAATCACTGTTTATTTTGTACTGCGTTTTCCTGCTTCTCTGGATGCCCTTTATTTTCTTCATCAAAGAGAACTTCTGATGTCGCTATTTTTCTATGGGAATCTGTTTCTGTTGCCTCTTCTGGAAGCTGCAGCTACCCCTTAAATGCGTTTTGTTGTATGTCTTAATTGTTGTAATGATCTTCTGTTGTTCAATTGGGGAGGGGTACGAAGCAAATCACAGTACATGCAGAGACAGTTCTCTTCAGTATTCAGTTCCTGGTGATTGAAATAGAAGAGGCTGTTCTTTCTTCACGCAGTCATCTATGACCATTGTATGCTGCAGAGCTGCTGGCAATCCCAGTGCCACCTGTGGAATTTAGAAACTTTTATCAACCATCATAGCTGTGTGGTTGGTGGTGATTTTTTTGGTTTGTTTTGGGAGGGGTAGAAACAAGAGATGATGCCTCTTGTTGGCCTGTGATGAGTCCCTGCTGCTTTACAACAGCAAAACTCAGTATTTTTCTATAAAAGTTTAGATTTTTAGTCAAGACATAAATGGAAAGCTGTGTTAGTATGTTTATTCAAAAATTAGTTCATCATATCTTCTGGCTGTGTGTTGTTTGGGTTTTTTTTAATCAACATTGATTACATTCCTGGTTTTGTCTTCCAGATTTATCTTACCGGGGGAGGTGGACATTGAAATTCCCTATGAAGACTTTTTGTCACCAGATGAAGAAATGGATACTAAAAAGGAGAAAGAGGCCAAGAAGCATCAGGAACTGCTATTATCAGTAAACTTCTCAAAGTAAATGAAATGTTAGACCATGATTTATTCAGAGTTATAGGTTTATTACAACTACATAGTTGCAAGAACAAAATTACTCTCATGTGTGTTAGTCCTAATAGGAAAGTGGTTTAAATTTTAATTGACTGTTCTATTGTGTCAGAGTTCTCGGTTTACTTAATTTCCTGATATATTCCAGTGCACGAAGTCATTAATATGTGTAACTGTTGTCTTCATATGCACGTGATGTACAATATCAGTTGCAAGCATGAAAATTCCTGTTTTGAACACAGGCTGACCCTGGAACAAAAAGAACTCTGCCGTAGCAGGCTGAAGCTGTTAACTTACCTTGATCGCCTTGAAACCTATGAGGTGAGGAAACTTGGTAACTGGCCACAGTTCTTTTGAGTTCTCATTCTATAAGTATTCCTGTAACTTTTTCGTTATGTCATCATGTCTTTTTTTGTTACATATTGTAATATTAATGTTTATAGTCGTCTTAAGTGAGAGATTGTAACATTTCAAGAAAAGAAGCTGTTTTCTGTTCAAGCCACTGTGTTTCTCCTGCTTTACTGTTGCAAATGACCGACTTCTAGTGTTAAGAGGTATAGTTGGGCAGAAGCCTGCTTTGAACATACTGTGTCTGCGGGGAATTAAGTTATGCAACAATAGGGGTTATGGAGTTGGTGCAGAATTGTTATTATTACCATCTGTCAGTCTAACTGGCAAGTTCTCTTCAGGTTCTGTAATGAATCTTTTTCTTCCACGAGCTTACCAAAGTGAAAATTTTGGAATGTCAAACTGTATTTTGCTCAGTTTTTTAATTTTAACTTTGCAGTTGGCACTAGTCACATAATGACTTTTACCACATCTCTTTGTAACTAGTGTTATCTAAAACCTAGCTAAAATAAGGCGGAGAATTATCTTAGCTTATCAATCAAAAATACATCTTTTTTTTCATACTGAAGCAAATAAGAAAAAATAGCATGCTTTTCCACATGTATGTCATACTTATTCATCCTGAGATAAAGAAACCTGTAGGCTTTTTGATGGTTTTGTAGATCTTGCATAAAACCCAATCTTCTATAATTTTTTTTTTTTTTTTAAAGGAAATCCTTGGAGGGCCTCATGCAGCTGAGCAGCACTATGATGGTGAATTCTTCAAGAAGTTCAGAAATCAGAATATTGTGCTTTCAGCAAGAAGTTATGCTCGGGTATTAATATTTATTTTGCTAGAATGTAATTTTATTTTAGTATTGCTGTTTGCACTTCAGTGCATTTCCCCCCCCCCCC